TTGGGGTTTAGGGTTTAGAGGGTTTAGAGGGTTCAGGGTTTGGGGTTTAGGGTTTAGGGTGTAGAGGGTTTAGAGGGTTTAGAGGGTTTAGGGTTTAGGGTTTGGGGTTTGAGGGTTTGAGGGTTTTTGGGGTTTGAGGGGCGTTTGGGTCTTCGGGCTTCTCAGGTTTACGGGTTGACCGTTTGTGGGGGCTTTTGATGCGAATTCCAGACCTTGGACAGCAAACCTTGAACCCCCAAGCCCCAAACTGTAAACCCGAAACCTTCAACCCCCAACCCTGGACCCCAACCCCTCAATCCTGAAGCCTAAAGCCCCAGCTGCTTCAACAAAAAGGCGTAGAACCGTTTTCGAACCTCTTAAACCCATACGAACCCCTTACAGAACAACAGCAAAAAGGGCTACACGCAAACGCAACACTATGTTATAAAGCTTTTGAAACAACCCTTGTGACTTCCTTATAAATCGCTTTTCAGAATCCACCAAAGAACACTTCGGCCTAAGATCTCACTCTCAACCCTTGACCCCTTAGCCCTAAACCCTCAACCTTAAATCCTTCCCGAAACCCGAAACCCAATGCCCCTAACCTAAACCCTAAACAGCCTAATGCCCCTAACCTAAAGCCCGAAACCCTGAACCCCAGCACACAGAGCGTTCTTCAGGCGGCCTTTGTCATGCAGAGCGTGTCCGAGACGCTGGAGTGCTCCGGTGCCTCCCAGCTTGCCAAGTGGGGGGCCCAGGGTTTCGGGGAAATGGGGTTTCGAGGTTTCGGGGTGTTGGGGTTTTGGGGTTTAGAGTGGAAAGCGTCGACGAGAATACCACTGTTGGTGCAGCTGTCCTCGGTCCGAAGTTGCTTTTGTATGTGCGGACAGAGTGGTGGGTGGTATGGTGGCCCTCACCACGCTTGGAGTTGCCCTCGATTTTTGTCTACGTGCACTTCTACTTTTCAGGACAGGTGGACACGTTCTACGACATGATTGCAGGCGCCCATGTGGACTTTCACTTGGAGGACTTTACCTGGCGAGGGTGCCTGGCGAGGCGGCTCACCGAGGACCGGCTGGTAGCAGGTACACGATCCGAGTGCCGTGGGCACTCTCCCTGCACTGAGTCTCATGTTGGGGAGGCTGCGCACCCTGGTCCTGATGGGTTTATGGACGGGATGTTCGGCAATGCTTTTCGCGATCAGCTGCAGACATTGATCAGGGACATGGTGATGGGGGCGATGCAGACGGTTTCCAGTCCATGTCTGGAGGCGGGGTGCCGATGCCGTTTCCTGGGGCATCAACCTCTGCGGATGTGGTTGTGGCCAAGGGACCGAAGATCAAGTCATCGTGAGATGGAGCCGCGGCAAGGCGACCGGCAAGGGCAAGGAATCCTCTGTGCCCAACATTGCGGCGGATAGCAAGGGCAACGTCGTCGCGGCTGCTCAGGGCACCCTCAAGTACACTGTCAAGCCCAACCAAGGCAAGGGCAGGGGCAAGGATTCGTCATCGCATGGGGCTGGCAATGACACAGGCTAGGGCAAGGGCAAGAACAAGGATACATCGACGACAGCTCCTTCCTGGCAGCATGCAACGCTGATGTGTGAGGTTTCTGGGAAGGTCCTGCTCAGGAAGCACCTGGAAGACGGGATGAAGTTGGAATTTTCGGAGTTAGATGCCTTTGGTATGGCAACAATTATCGGAGAAGCCGAGGCCTGGAAGAAGGCCATGCGAAGAATCCACACCACTCGTTGGGTATTAACTTCGAAACCATCGGTGTCGAATTGGCAGGTTCGACCCGGAGACTTTGATGCCGATCGCCTGGTTCAGGATTCATTTGAGCTCGAGGCTGCCCTGGACGCGAAGTTTGCGAAGATCGCTGTGCAGGTTGCTGATGAACACCAGCTTTCCGAGGTTGTTGATGTCATTCAAAGGTTGACTTCATGGGCGAGGCAAGCTCCACTCTCAATGCCATCAACAACTCCCTTCCTGTGCAGGCGGAATCTCTCTCTTGGACGCTCCCCCTCCGCGATTCGCCTTAGGACCTGTTGGTGTTTTGCGGCGGGAGAGTGACCCATTCCAAGCTGCTCCTGCCGCGAGCTTCGTTGCGGATGCGGAGCTTGGACCGGCTCTGCTCGAGGCCTCACACGCGACTCCTGGTGGTGCTCGCAAGGGTGCTCAGTTTTTCGTCTCATTGACGACTTTGGCCGGCTTCATCACCATGGCAAAGCCGAAGTCCAAGGCCAAGAAGGGCGAAGCCGCCTCCGGTTCGGTTGGCTGCGGCGTCCCCACCAGTGATGGAGGTGGATGCTTGACGAGACGGTGCCTGTTGGGGGCAAACGTCTGTGGCACAGGATGCTGAGAAAACATGGTGCCTCTGTCTCTGCCGCTGTCGGGCGAGAGCATCATAAATGAAAGGCAGGGCAAGGCAACTGCTTGTTCCTTGCGCTGGCTCAGACCATCGAAAAGAAGGCGCGCGGACATCGTCAGCTGCGTGGAGCCGTGGTTGCTTGGATGAAGACCAACAAGCCCTGGCTGGAGCCTTTGTGGGATAGACTTAATACGTCCGGTGACGAGGTTGCCGATGGATACTCCTTTGATTCCTATACCTCCTGGAGTGAGGCAGGGACGGCAACTTATACTGGTCCCACGGAGATCTTCGCCGTGGCGCGCGGGCTCAACTTGATTGTTCTGCACAATTTGGTCCTCTCAAGTTCCACGGTCAGCCTTCATTGTCCTGCGGTACCTCGCTCGGCACTACGAGTGGGTGAAAGTCAGTTGTGAGGACATCGTTTCTCTGTGGTCCAAGGCCGGAAATGGCACTTGCAAGCGCGGGCTTGGACGACCAGTGCTCGGGCTTCCACCTCTCAAACTTCGCTCTCAGGGTGCTCGTAAGCGATCTCGTGGGGGCTCGTAGTGGCATGCGCCTTCGGCGGCTAAGCTTTGCTTTGACGTCTCGCTCCAAGTCTGCGCGCTCTTCTCGGTCAGCTGTCAATCATGGGAGCTCCGCTCCCTGTGGATGTTGCGGCAGCTGCAGATCTGGCCGATTTAGCGCAGCTTCGGTCCCTTTTGCCCCTACGTTGCTGAAGGCTCCTCAGGCAGGATTTCGGCGTTGAAGCATCGGCACTGCAAGCTTGCTCACTACTGCCTGGCAGACGGACCCTGAATCTACGAGCCCTTCGATTGGCTCCGTCATCTCGCCCATGATTGCTGATTGGCATCGCGTTTGCCTCACGGGTTGCCTCAGGAGAAGCTGCAGGAGATCTTCACAATGCACGCGTGGCTTTGATAGGGGATTCGTCGTTTCTAGGATTTTCAAAGAATGACTCCGTGTACAGTGTTTTGGGCACTATGCCCTCAGACATTATGGTACTTCAGGAGGTGGGCCTCAACGAGGCTAGCAAAGCTTCCTGGGTGCATGATTGGCGGCGGCGTGGCTATTTTGCTCACACCGGCGTCGTCTGGCACGTTCATGTACAGCGGGCCGCCTCATTTCCAAGCTCGGTGGAGTTCAAGTGAGTCTTCCACATGTTGAGCCCAGTGATATTGTGAGCTTGCTCGAGTCCTCGGTGGTCAATGAGGCTTCGTCCATGGTTGCAGACACTCGGGAACTTGATTGCCTCACGTGGTACTTGGCAGGTGCAAGGCTGCTCGCCCGTGCGAGCCGCTGTCCAGGATCCAGTTGAGGCGGTTGTGTAGGCGCTTCGTGCAGTTCATTCGGCACCACCCACGATGCGCATCGCCGCGTGGTGGTGGAGCGACAGCTGGCTACCCTGTTTATGCGTTTTCCTGGGCTCCTTGAGATTCCGAATCTCCAGGTGGATCCTCCTGCGGCTTGAGTCTTGGAGCGTATCGAGGCGGATGCCGAGTCTCTGTGGAGATGCGCTTTCGACAGGTTGCAGCAGCGCAGGACGGCATTGAGGCGTTGCGGTCTCAATGGGTGTGGCGACGTGCGGACCTGGTTGGCGAAGTGACGCGGCCAGTCACCCATGTTCGTGATGAGTTTCTTGTACGTCGGGCCGTTCACCGTCTGAGGTCATCCGTGTCGCTGAGGGCTGAGCGAGTTCCTCGGTGGACGAGCTCGGCGCCGCCCACGTCCAAGCTGGAACAGCTTCTTGAAAGGATTCCTCGCCCTGACGCTGTGAGCGTGGAGATGGGACCGACCTGACGCTTGGGAAGCAAACACGCTCCTTCTTTTCAGCTTTGGCTTCTGGCAAGCACTTGCTTCGTGGTGGATGTTGCGTGCGTCGCACCGGCGTTATACCAGGGGTCACGCCCATCTCAATCATGACCGGGGTGCTCGTCAAGCGACTCGCTCCGTGGCTGGCTACTTGGAGTGATCAGCGTAGACTTGGCGGAATCGCTGCCCGATCCACTTTGGGATGCTTTTTTGAGGCTGACTGATGCCATTGCCAGGGGACACACTATGGTGGGCGAGGACTTGTGCAAGTTCTTCGACAGTGTTCATGCTGATCATTTGGTGTTGGTCCTCCATCACCACCGCGCTCCTCAGGAGATTTAGCGACTGGTGAGCTTTCTGCTTGCGGATCCACGCCGGGTTTTCTCAGCAAGGGGTCGTTTCGGCAGCACCTGGCACCAGATTTCCAGAGGGGCTTCGCGGTTTAGTGGGTTAGGGATTAAGGGGTTGAACGTTCGGATTCGAGGTTTTGGCTGGGCCAAGCCCCAAACTCAAAAATTGGAATCCCGAGGCCACAAGCCTAAACCCTTATTATGCAATATTAATATTGATATGGACATCAAAGTGATACATGGTGCAGTGTTGCCAGGCGCCCCAAACTCCAAATCCCTTTCCCCCCAAGCAGGCGGGCAGTTGAATTTGTGTTCGGGCCAGAACCAACTTCGTAAATGAAGCGCTAAAATTGGTTCTTCTGGTTCTATGCCCTGCAACAGCCCAGAAAAAGTCTCAGTCTCGACACCCCAAAACCATCTAAAACCCGAAACAAACCCCCAAAACCCTCCACCCTAAGCCCCAAAACCTGAATTGCCCTATCTTGTGGGTTGTTTTATGTCTTCGAACTGTCAGAGCTTCCCTTCTGCTGTGTGAGGTTGGGCCAGTCTGCGGCTGAGTCTTTGGTGCTGCAGAGACTAAAGGCAGGACCGGGATGTGGCTTTCAAGCTTTGGGACCTCCACACATAGCCTGTGCCGTCCTGGGTAGCAGGCAGACCCGTTAAAAGGGACCCTTCAAACGGGACCTGGTTGAGAGGGTCTATATCCCAAGGGTCCCCCTAAAAGGTTAGAGTCGCAAGCCTTTATATGGCCCGATACAATCTATATCAGACCCCTCTGCGCTGCCCTTCAACTAGAGCCCGCTTTAGGCACGAAGATGAGTGTAGTATCCCCTTCTAGCCCATCTACAACTCTACAATGACATACCCCAAAAACTCGTCCTAAACCCGAAACCCTGAATCACCACAACGCCTGATTCCCAAACCCTAAAACGCGGGTCCGGAGAGCCAGCAAAGCCGAAGCTAATCGGTGTGGGGGTGGCAAAAAGGGCGGGTAGGTGTGCCCCATGTAGGGATCCTTCGTATAAGGATCCCATGTTTTGAGATTCTATGGATGGGAGGCTCTCCAAGCAGCCCCAAACTCTGAGCAGAAACCCCACCTCCTCATATCAAAACGACACCCTAAATCCAACACTCCAGAACCCAAGCTCCAACCCCCAACCCCGAAAGTGCAATCCGCAATTCTTAAACCTATCCCCCACGCTCCCACATATGCCTTAGTTCCTAAACCCTGACTAACCCTAAACTCTAACCCGAACTCTTGGGACAGGAAAACAAAATGAAGCCGTCTTCACGGGTTTCCCTCTGGGACTGCGGAGTGCTTTTTCGGGACCGATGGGGCGGGGGAGCGCACAGGCTCCTAACATCAGCTCCCACAGGCATGGCCTGGTCGCCATGTTCGGCACATTCCAGCCCCTGTCCATCGCGAGTTGCTGCTGAGAGCACTGCACTGCATGTGGCGGACATGAGTGCTGCCGCAAGCACTTTCTGCAACGCTGGATGCCGTGTCTGGCAAAGCCTACGTGCACTCTGATGATGCGCAGTGCTGGCCCAAACTCGTGAAGGGCTTGAAAGTCTGTCAAGTCCTACAATGTGAGGCACAACCAGCACCAACCCGTGAAGAAGCCCGCTTGGGGATCGGACGTGCCGTTGGGTCTGGCCTTCTCGGCTGGCGCCCAAGTAGGACTTACAGCTGACGGCCGCGACATACCATGACTTCCAAGAGTTACATTATCATCTGTGTATATATGCATAGTATAATACATACGTATATAGGCTCCGATCCCCGAAGCCCAAGGTGCTAAAACCCAAGACCCGAATGAAGCCCTGAAGCCTATTGCACAGCCGTCGAAGAGAGCTCCTTCTGAGAGACCCAGAACCCTTACAGCTCCGAAGCTCCGAAGTTACTTTTGCCAGGGGCTCGGCGTGAGACCGACCGCCTCCGCTGGTTCCTGGAACCGCCGGCTTAAGGGCTTCGGGGACGTAGGTGGACGGAGGTTTAGGGCTGTGGGGTTCAGTGTTTGGGACTGCAGTGGTTGGGTTTTTTTGAGTTGTAGGGTCTAGGAAAGCAGCTCTACCATCAGAAGCGAAGCATGGTAGTGGCGGTGAGCAGTCGTTTCTTTGGACTTGCGTTTGCGCGGGCTTTCATGTGTGGGTCTAAGTTGTTTAGTCTAGGGTGTTCATAGCTTTGTGGTTTGGTTTTCCATGGGCTTTTTGCGGTTGGATCTAGGCTTTTGCCATGTGCTAGGGGTAAGGATTTGAGTCTGGGGGGCAGTCCCGAACCCCACAAACCCACCCTAAACCCAAAGACCCCGGAGCCCTAAATCCCAAAACCCTGAACCCGAAGCCCTAAACCCTTAACCCTTAACCCTAAACCCTAAACCCTTAAACCCTAAACCCTTAAAGCAACCCCAGGCTTAAGGTTTCTGGCTGCTGTCGAAGGACGTCCACAGAGCGAACTGCC